GAGCCTACGGGTTCGAGACCCGCCTGGGCAACTTGGTGAGACCTCATCTCTACAATAAATCAAAATTTAGCCAGACGTGGTAGTGCGCACCTGTAGTTCCAGCTACTTGGTAGGTTGAGGCAGAAGGATCGCCGGAGCCTAGTAGGTCGATGCTGCGGTGGCTGGGAGCGGCCACTGCACTCCAGCCTGGGCGACAGAGTGAGACTCTAACTCAAAAAAAAAAAAATCAGACAGTGATGATGGCTGCACAACTCCAAATATACTAAAACCCACTGAATTGTATATTTTCAATGGGTATAACTTATAGGATGTTAATTATATATCCACAAATGTGTTATAAAAAAAAAAACACCTGTGAACTTAGTAGCAGTGAGGGAAGGAAGTCATAAGGGGTACATTTGTGTGCCTTTCTTTCTTGGAGGATAATTGAGGCTGGTGCATGGGTAGCCTTGAAGAGGTTTGACCCTGTAACTCTGCTCTGAAAAATACATTTTTTTTTTTGAGTTGGAGTCTCATTCTTTCACCCAGGCTGGAGTGCAGTGACGCGCTCACGGCCACCACAGCCTCCACCTGCTGGGCTCAAGTGATCCTTCCACCTCTGCCTTTCAAGTAGCTGGAACCACAGCCTCACACTATCACACCTGGATAATTTTTTGATTTATTGTAGAGATGAGGTCTCACCAAGTTGCCCAGGTTGGTCTCGAACCCTTGGGGTCAGGCAATCCTCTCACCTCTGCCTCCCCAAATGCTGGGATTACAAGTATGAGCCACCATGCCTGGCCTAAAAATACATCTCAAAGAAAAACTTGGCCATATTTGGTGGCTCATGCCTGTAATTCCAGCACTTTTGAAGGCCAAGGTGGGAGGATTGCTTGAGCCCAGGAGTTCAAGACCAGCCTAGGCAACATAGCAAGATGTTGTCTTTACAAACAATCAAAAACTTAGCTAAGCTAATTTTGGAGTGCTCCTGTAGTCTCAGCTACTCAGAAGGCTGAGATGGAAGGATCACCTGAGCCAAGGAGGTTGAGGCTGCAGCCTGGGTGACAGAGTGAGACCCCAACTCAAAATAAAAAAAAAAAAACTCGAGGTTTATAAAGATGCAAGTTCATAGATGTGCATCAAGTTATATAAAAAGACAAGTATTGGGAAGCAATCTAAATGTTCAACTATAAGGAAATGTTAAGTTCTTTAAAAAGGAAGAGCAATATCATGCAATCATTGGAACTTGTTTTGGGGAACATTCACAATAAAGGAACATTTCATAATAGAGTGTGAAGTGAGAAAACATGCTGGGCTATATGAGCCCTTGTGCAGAAAGGAATAACACAGCAGACCTGTGGTTACTGTCCCTGCCTGGCATCTGGGAGCCTGACTTTGGGAGTGCCCCACCAGGTTCCTTGTGCCTAGACTGATGGCGCAAGCCATGTGGTTTATGGTTGAACACCTGCTTTTCTTCTGGGAATCTGGAATTTTGGTATGTGCCAGGCAGAGGGTACCTCATGACCAGCCTCCAATAAAAACCCTGGGTTTTGGGTCTCTACTGGGCTAATTTGGGCCATTAGATATTGCATACATGTTGCTGCGTTTTTGTTGCCAGGGGAAGAGTGCACTCTGTGACCAGTCACGGGTGGAAAAATGTGTAAGGGAACCGCACATGGATTCCTCCAGACTGCCTGTCTTCTTCCCTCATGATCCAGTATGCATCCTTGTGAACTGCTGTAATAAATCTCCGTCATGAGTACAACTATGCTGAGTCTTGGGAGTCCAGCGCATCTCCAGACATTGGGGTGGTCTTGGGGCCTCCCAATACAGCCAGCTCCTGATGTGGAAAATAACAGCATGCATATAAATAGATGAGGCCAGGCGCAGTGGCTCATGCCTGTATGCCAACAATTTGGGAGGCTGAAGTAGGAAGATTACTTGAGCCCAGGAATTTGAGGCCAGCCTGGGCAACATAGCAAGACCCTGTCTCTGCAAAAGTATAGCTTGGTGTGGTGGCACATACCTGTAGTCCCAGCTACATGGAAAGCCGAGGCAAGAGGATTACTTGAACCCAGGAGTTTAAGGCTGCGATGAGCACTCCAGTCTGAGAAACTGTGAGACCCTGTCTCTAAAAACAAACAGTCGGGTGTGGTAGCTCATGCCTGTAATCCCAGCACTTTGGGAGGCAGTGAAGGCAAGGGGATTACCGGAGCTCAGAGGTTCTAGACCAGCCTGGGCAACATGACGAGACCTCATCTCTACAATAAATCAAAAAATTAGCCCGGCATGGTGGTGCATGCCTGTAGTTCCAGGTACTTGGAATGCTGAGGCAGAAGGATTACCTGAGCCCAGCAGGTCGAGGCTATGGTGGCCATGAGCGTCACTCCAGCCTGGGTGACACAGTGAAACTCCAACTCAAAACAAACAAATAAATAATAAAATAAATGAGATCGATTAAAAAATATAAAATAAAATAGATGAGAAAGGCCAGTTCGCTGACTGTTTTGGAACTGTTATTGTGAGTGACTTTTCTTCTCTATACTTTTCAATATGTTGTACCTTTTTTTTGAGTTGGAGTCTTACTCTGTCATCCAGGCTGGAGTGCAGTGGCATGCTCATGGCCACCGCAGCCTTAATCTGCTAGGCTCAGGTGATCCTTCTGCCTCAGCCTTTCAAGTAGCTGGAACTACAGGCATGTGCTACCACCCCCAGCTAATTTTTTGATTTATTGTAGAGATAAGGTATGGCCAAGTTGCCTAGGCTGTTCTCGAACCCATGGGCTCAGGCAGTCCTCTCACCTCACCCTCCCAAAGTGCTGGGATTATGGACGTGAGCCACTGCACTCGGCCATGTTATACATATTCTATATTGATGTTCCTTTTACTTTAAGAATTGTGTTTTTTTTTTTTGAGTTGGAGTCTTACTCTGTCACCCAGGCTGGAGTGCAGTAGCACACTCATGGCTACCACAGCCTCGACCTGCTGGGCTCAGGTGATCCTGCCACCTCAGCCTTCAAAGTAGCTAGAATTACAGGCATGTGCCACCATACCCAGCTAATTTTTTGATTTATTATAGAGATGAGGTTTCGCATGTTGCTCAGGCTGGTCTTGAACTCCTGAGCTCCTCTGCCTTCCAAAGTGCTGGGATTACAGGCGTGAGCCACCATGCCTGGCCAGAATTTGTTGTTTTTTAAGTTAAACATTTTCTGTTATGTTAAACACTGTTGTCATTTGTAGAGTGATTGACCTCTGAAGGGGCATCTCTGATTTTCCCTTAGGGTTGTAATCCCCTTGCACAAACCGGCCGGAGCAAACTGCAGAATCAGAGAGCTGTGTTGAATCAGCAGATCCTGAAAGCTGTGCGCATGAGGACAGGAGCGGAGAACCTTCTGAAGTAGGTGTCTTCTGGCTTCCCCGCCTTCACTGGAAGCCCAGCCTCTCCCAAGACCTAGTCACCTATCCCTAAATGCCTCGACCTGGCTCTTGGTTTGAGCTTTGGGTTTCCTCCTCCTGCAGGAATCCCTTTCTTCTGGCCTCAATCCCGTCCACCAACTCATCAGAAGTCCAATTGTTGTCTCAGTGTTTGTTTTCCCTGCTTTTTTTTTTTTTTTGAGTCAGAGTCTCACTCTGTCGCCCAGACTAGAGTGCAGTAGCTGCTCCCAGCCACAGTAGCCTCAACCTGCTGGGCTCCGGTGATCCTTCTGCCTCAGCCTTCCTAGTAGCTGGAACTACAGACGTGCGCTACCACGCTCGGCTAAATTTTTTTGATTTATTGTAGAGGTGAGGTCTTGCCAGGTTGCCTAGGCGGGTCTTGAACCTGCGGGCTCAGGCAATCCACTCCCCTCGGCCTCCCAAAGCACGGGATTACAGGCTGAGCCACCGAGCCCGGCCTGTTTTCCCTGCTTTCTATGGGACTTGTCAATTTTCTCCATGCCTAACACTGTGCCTGGCGTAGACTTCCTGCTTGGTAAAGGCTTATCAAATATACAACCAACATGAAAACCAACATGAGAGCAGAAAGGACAAAATGAGGGCATTTCTGTTGCCCATGTCCTCCCTCCCTCCTTCCCTCCTTCCTTCCCTCCCTCCTCTCCTCCTCGCCCCCTTCTTTCTTTCGTACTAAGCATCTACAGCCTAAAGGTCTAAATGTCTACCTCTCTAAAGAGACAGTGCAAGCCAGGTGCGGTGGCTCACGCCTGTAATCCCAGCACTTTGGGAGATGGAGGTGAGAGGATTACCTGAGTCCAGGGATTCAAGACCAGCCTGGGTGTCTTGACGAGACTCCGTCTCTACAATAAAATAAAAAAGCTAGCCAGGCACCTATGGTTTTAGCTACTTGGAAGGCTGAGGCAGAAGGGTCACCTGAGCCCAGGAGACTGAGGCTGCAGTGACCGTGGTCATGCCACTGCACTCCAGTCTGGGCAATAGATTGAGACCACTACTCCAAAAAAATAAATACGTAAGTAGGAAAAGAAAGGGGGAGTACAGCCCTGTGCTCTGTGGCACTCATTATGCTCTGGTACTGGTGGTAAAATAGTAACTTACTGAGTCCAGAACTCAGTGAAGCCTGACCTGTACAGTCTAGGCCGCTGTAAACCCTCTCTGACTCTTACACGTAATGAAAGACAATGTGCTAGCATTTTGTTGACAAAGAGTGCACAGTTTCATCCTTTGAGTTTTAGGGGCAACTCTTGTCAGCCCCATACTGCCTTTTGGAGTGGGAAACAGATGCCTCCCTGGGCCTCAGGAAGAGAGGTGGAGTGCTTGCAGGGATCTGGAACCCAGAAACCTGGCAGAGAAGGGGTCTGCACTCTGCCTGCTTGAAACTACAAGTCTCTGAGTTTCCCGGGATTTTAAGAGACTCTAGGGGTCAAGGGGGCCAGCATTTCCCTGGGGATATTACTCATGGGGGTTCCCAGTGGGCTAGCTTCACTCTTGGAAGCCTTGGGGGAACCCAGAGACTTCTTGGGATGCTGTTGGGAGAAACATACACTAGCTGAGCCGCAAGGCTCTGGCTCCCAGCTCTGTGCTCCCCTAGGACCACTCCCCTGAGTGCTGGGCAAAGCAGGAAGAGGGCTTCTGACTGTGATTTGTGTTCGCTCCTCAGCTACTATCTCTGAGCTGTTAAGAGGGGAAAAGAAAAGTACAGGACTGCATGCCCTGTGTGTGTGTGTGCGAAGGATCGGTGCATATGCTTCCGTGAATACGCAAAGGGACAAGCAGAGGCACTGTGGCTAGTGACTGCTCTTGGGGCCGACGCCAGGGATAGCGGGGTGGAGGTGCTGAGGCTTGTCGTTTTACTCCCTTTGGTGTTTGAATGTGCTTTTGCCACGGGCATGGATTTTTTGTGTTCGTTGTCATTGTGAAATACTGCCGAGGTCCAGAAGAATGATATGAGCAGTGCCCTTTAACCTGACACTCGATGGGGAATAACAACAGCGTGGCATCTGTGTCGGTTTTGTCACTCATGGCGTGAAAGAGGGCTTGAGGGCCTGGGAGGGAAGCTCTTGGGAACCTCTTCTCCAGCTCCTTTTGTAATTGGGTGCAGGGGAGGTTGTCACTGGGGGAGACTGGGGAAAACATTTTGGCTTTCAAAATGTCTGCACGTGGCCTTGTCCCCTGATGAGTCTGGACCTGGGAACGGACAGCTTCCCACATTGTGGTGGACCTCGTAGGCTTGTGCGACTTGGGAGAAGGCCCTTGATACCGGGACTCCCTGCTGTGTGCTGGGAAGACTGCGGTGTATTCTGTGGCCTGGGCCTCTGGTTGACCTGGACAGGCCGTCAACGTGGCCGCCCCCAGAGTGGGCTACAGCCGACTTGCCTGTCCATGGAGTCATCGGGCATCTCTTAGGCAGCAGGCAGTGTTTGAGGGGCAGGGAATAAGGCCACCTGCATTTCAGACGAGGTCTGGCTTGCATGATGCTTGATGTTTTGTTGGGGGGGTGGAGACCTTCATACACAGACAAATCAGTCATGCCAGAGAGTGATGTTTTCTAGGGTCTGATGAGACTAAAATGTGAGAGAGGAAGCTTTGAAAACAGGGTGGACTGGGCATGGTGGCTCACGCCTGTAATCCTAGCGCTTTGGGAAGCCTAGGCAGGAGGATTGCTTGAGCCTAGGTGGTTGAGACCAGCTTGGGCAACATAGTGAGACCCTGTCTCTTAGAAAAAGAAAAAAAAAGAAAAAAACCAGAGTGGTCAGGGAGGCCTCTTTGACCAGAGAACTGGGAGTTTCTCAGACAGGAACCAGGGCAGTTGTGTCTGTCTTGTTCTGTTCATGACACCAGCAGACACCCTCTCTGAGGCCCAAGCCTGGCTCAAGCTCATTGTCAAATTGGCCGTTGTTGAGCTGGCAGGGTGGGGGTGGGGTGCAGTTGTTAATGATTCCTGCAGTAACCCAAAAGTTCAAAGTGCCCCACTCTGGAGAATGTTGTCAGAGGAAACCCTGAAGGTATTTATTCATCTGATTCAATCAGCACCAACGGTTTCCCGAAAACAAATAGGGCATTTTGCCAAGCCCCCACTTTGTCCCCACCGTGTCCCTGGGCGACCAATTACGGGGCTGTCCCTGCAGGCCATGGTAGTTGCGGTCATAAACCAGGCCCCGCTTTCCTTCTGATTGTCTTCTCATTCCCAGGTTTCCCACCGCAGCCCCCAGATTAAGGCAGAGTAGTTGGAATGGGGGTGGGAAATGCTTGGGAAGATGACCCCAGAAATACCAGAGTGGAAGTGAGCATTCCAAGTAAGCCCTTCCCTGCACTGGTCAGGGGCCGTTGCAGCTGGGCAGGCACTGTGAGAAGCTACACTTTGTGCCCGTTCAAGATCTTTCCTTTCTCTCATCCACACCAGCTAGAATTCATGCACTTCCTAGAGTTTGATTAGGAAGATATCGAATATTTTAAATCTGATTTTTTTTTAGGTTAAGCAAGGACAATAGTCTTTCTCTTTTCCCAACTCCCTTCCCTCCCTTGAGAAAATCAGGAGTAACAATGGGATAATGTTTCTCTGAAACCGAGACAGTCTTTGTGAAATTTAAAACAAGTACCCTGGTTTTAACTAGTTTTAACTAACTAGTTCTTTGAACAAGGTCAGGTCATTCAGCCTCTGTGGGCTTCAGGTTCCCCTCTTTTAGAGGTAGTCGTTGGACTAGATCAGATGTGGCCCACTCTGAGTCTTTCAGGGATGAAGTGGGCATGGAAATGAGTGAATGGGGCTGAGATCTGAGCTGTGTGACGATAGAGAGTGGTGGGGACTGTGGTGAAGTGCAGAGCATATGCTGTCTCTGGAGGGGCAATTGCGGTTTGCCCCATGGCGGGCGGGGTCGGAGTTGCCAGATCTTCCAAGTTTTTTTACCAGGAGAAGTCGATGATTTTTTTTTTTTCTTTAGTCTTCTGATTATTGAACTTTTGTTATTTATTTATTTTAAACTTTTATTTAATGTTTTAAAATATGTAGAGACAGGGTCTCACTGTGTTACCCAGGCTGGTCTTGAACTCCTGGCCTCAGGCGATCTGTTTGCCTCAGCCACCCAAAATGCTGGGATTACAGGTGTGAGCCACTGTGCCTGTCCTATTTTTATTTTGTTTCTGAGTCAGGATCTCACTTTGTCACCCAGGCTGGGGTGTGGAGGCATGATCACAGCTTACTGCACCCTGGACCTCCTAGGCTCTGACAATCATTCTGTCTCAGCCTCCCAAGTAGCTGTACTATAGGTGAGTGCACCACACTTGGCTAATTTTTTTATTCTTTTGTTGCAGTAATGTCTCGATAGGTTGCCTGGGCTGGTAAAAAACTCCTGGGCTCAAGCAGTTCTCTTGACTTGACCTCCCAAAGTGCCGGGATTATAGGTCATGGCTGAATTTTTCAATATCAGGAACTAGTTTAAGCCGGGGAAAGTGACACCCTGCAAGCCAAGTGAACAAGTCTCACGGGCTTCCAGTCTAGTTTGTGACTTCTATACAAGAGGGTCATGGAATTCTAGGGAGGGGTGACCTGGGATGGCCTGGGCTGTAATGAGAATGACTTGAGGTTAATGACTGCTCACACTGTCAGGTGTGAGGGGGCAGGTGTGTGTCTGTGTAGTGCGATGTACAAACATTCCGTAGCATTTGGGGCCTGCACCACCTGTGGGACCTGCCTTCTTTTTTTTTTTTTTTTTGAGTTGGAGTCTCACTGTGGCACCCAGACTAGAGTGCAGTGGCCGCTCCCGGCCACCGCAGCCTCGACCTGCTGGGCTCCGGTGATCCTTCCGCCTCAGCCTTCCAGGTAGCTGGAACTACAGGCGCGCGCTACCATGCCCGGCTCATTTTGATTTATTGTAGAGATGAGGTCTCGCCAAGTTGCCCAGGCGGGTCTCGAACCCGCAGGCTCAGGCAATCCACTCACCTCAGCCT